CTTGAGTTAGTGGTTGATTTTAGGGCTTTTTAATGGTGGACTGAGAAGAGGCTTCTGCTGAATGAAAGAAATATGAATAAGTATTGCTTTTGAACTATAGAAATGGGCTGGGTGTTGGGCTGGGTTGAAGCAGGTACATGTACAGTATGAGCAAGGCTTTAGTATAGCTGGCTTGTCAATTTGAGAGGAATTGGAGAAGAGGCTGGGTATGGAGCTCTACCAGGGGCCAGAGTCAGAGAAGCTGCCTGCTTCTCTGCTTCTTGGCCTGGCCAATTTTGTGCAGTAGGGGAGGAGGCATGTAGTGCAGGGGAAGAGGTGCACTGAGCCACAGCAATTCTCCTGCCACTGTGTCCTCCCCCTTACAATACACACCCCTTGCCCAGCGCTCTCCCATGTACCCCCTCGCCCACAGCCCCCTTGCACCACGCATCCCTTTCCCTGTACTCTTCATTCTGCTCCATGTCCCCCATCTCCCTTCCCTGAACCAAACACCCATCCCCTGTGCTTTTCTCATGATCCAGTATTGCTTGTCCTGGGCTTGGTACCTGATCTGCTGCTATTGCCAAGCCAAGTGCTCCGTGCCCTGGGGGGAGACAGAGCAACAGCACAGGCTAAGCGGGGGGTGGGGAGATGCATGAAAGTGAGGGGGTAAGTGGCAACGGAAAAACACCAGAAGGAGGCAAAAGGTGAGGGGGGCAGACAGCACTGGGGAAAGACAGACAGCGGGGGAAAACCCTGGGAGGGAGGCATGGGGAGGTGGCAAGAACTGGGAGAGACAGGCAAAAGAGAAGCAAGCAGTACAGGTGGCAGGGGGCACAGGCTTTCCCCACTGCAGTAGCAGAAGGGAGACATATTTAAGATTACCCCCAATAATTAAATTTTGACTTGGAAAATGATAGCAAATTTTTAATTTTCAGTGTCTGAAAGCTAATAATTAGGGGGGTCATCTTAAATTCTAAGTCCTGGATTTGGATAAATACGGTTATTTGTTTGATAGCTCAGCAGAATCTTGACTTTAGGTTGGTTGTTTGGATTGTATTCCCTGAGTGACTCTTAAATGGTGACAAAATATTATCTGACTGGTTGAGCATGTGCCTAACTTTGGTTACTGTACTATGAGAATCTGGCAGTATCCTTAACTGAAATGCATGAAGTGCAGTGTTAAGTACCCTGCCACTTCTATTTCTAGCACTGCATACTAATGATACAGAACAATTTCATTAGGTTATAAAAGTCTCTGTAGGCTGTGCATTCTTAGCACACAGGCAAGGCAGTAATTAGGAACTGTGGACATTTTGCTTAGTTTATAGAATATTCACACATGCAGAAATAGAGTCCGCAATAACAACTGTACCTTATCTTCTTATTTCTTTAAAAATGTCCAGGAACCATCAAGTTTTGAACTGAACCGAACTGCTAATTGTTAAGTTTTTGATGCTACAGACTCTAGACATTTGGCAAGTGCATACTGCTCCAGCATGCCTGAGCTGATGTCTGTTGTGACCTAGTTCTGTCACTGAATTCTGCAGGCCATGAAAACGTAGAGCTAGAGATATTACTTCTGACACTGGAACAACTACAGCGACTGTGGATGTTATATGCTTTGTGCAGTCATTCCATAAAGATGGAGATTAAATTGACATGTTTATGAATTCTTTATTTCAGGCATTTCAGTTTCAAGAACTCAAAAATCCTGGCACCAGGAAGTTAGATTGGTGTGTAATAATGGGAGCCAGCTAATGTCCAGGAGAGTTGACATGTTACTCCTGCAACAGTTAAATCTCTTTGCCATTAATACACACTGATAGCTAGGGGCAGAACTTATATATAAACCGATTTAAGTGATCAGAAACAAGTTTAAACTTGTAACAGAACATAAGTTCAGTGCACATAAACCTTTTGGGTTTCAAAATAGCCCAAACTGGTTTAAGATAAACCTGGCTGGAAGTAGTATTAGACTGAAGAGTAGCATTAAAATGTCTTTCTTTGCAAGCCTTTGGGTACACACACTTCTTCACGCTGAAGAGAATTCAGAGAGTTGTAAAAGTTATCCTAGGTAGGAAGGAAACTTCATTTTGCAAAGCAAGATAGAGGGTGGAAGTTTATTCCCCTGGGTACCTCGGAGTCCTGTTGTGTGAGGGTTGCTCTGTGATGTGCAGATTAAAGTACCCCTTTAATACATGCCCACACTCTGCCCGCCCCCCCCCGCCCCAGGTTTAATATGAAGCCTTTCCTGAAGGTGTCGCTGTTTTGATACTAGCCGTCCTCTCGGCTGAAGGGCAACTGCAGCTCTTCAGCTCCTCGCTCCTCTCTCCCATTCGGCCCAGACCCAGCAGTGCCTCCTGAAGGCAGGCAGCGGGCTTTTTTTTCCCTTCTCCCCCTTTTCCTACACAACCTGAAACGGCCTTTGCTGTCCTGGTTTCCTTCCTCGCGGCAGCCGCCCAGGCAAAACTACACGCTCAGCTCGAGTTTGTAGCACCGCTTCTCTTCTCCTCCTGCCCCCCACCCCCGGTGGAAAGGTGGTACGGCCCGTGGGGGGCGCCCCCCTCCATAGCAGCCCCGCCCACCGCACAACGCGACGCTTGCGGCCTAGTGTCTCGGGGCAGTGACGCGCGCGGCCCGGAAGCGATTGTCCCAGCCTCTCGCGATAGCGGTGGCGGGGCGGGGTCTTCCCCGACAGATTGTGCCGTGACCCAATAGAATGGCGACGGCGGCGCTCCCGGCGTGGGATCGAGGGTGGGACTTCCGGCTGAGAGGGGCCGGTCCGGGTTTAGAGCGAGTCAGCGCCGGTGAGGCGCTGCTGCCGACCCGCCATGGCCTGCGCCGAAGCCTCGCCGGCCGATAAAGAGCGGTACGGTATGGGCGGCGCGCGCGCTGTGTGTGTGTGTGTGTGTGTGTGTGTGTGTGTGTGTGTGTGTGTGTGTGTGTACACGCCCGCCGTCTTCCCACTTTTCTGAGCACGTGAGGGAAGACGTGGTGCTGGGCGGTGTTGACCGGGTTTGAGGAAGCTTAGGGAGGATTCGGTTGTGCGCTAGCTCTATTATCTGGCCCGATCTGGGGGGATTTGCCCCCGGACAGCAGGAGCACTGCCCTAAAACAAAGGCGAACCCCTGGTTAAGTTTCAAGTCCTTGCACCAAAACGTAGGGATGCTGCAGGTAGGTTGGTCTAGTCTCTGCCCCATCTGAGAGTGCTTTAAGGGTGTCCTTACTTCATTTCCAGGAGTAGGAGCAAAGGTGGGGCATGCTAGAGAGCAGGAGGGGCTAACCTTGCAGGTGCACTCCCTGGGTACCTCTTCCATCCCTTTCCTCTGATCTCCCTGCCTCTTCTGTTTCTCTTTCTGCTTCCTGCCCTCTGCTCCCTCCCTGCCTGATTTGATGTTCTGCTTTCTGCTTCCTGCACTATCAGCTTCTATTTCCTGTCCTCTCCTTGATGCTGGTGCCATTCAGGTTGCCTATACCACTTGTGGCTATAATGCCCCAGGTTGGCCACCCTTGGTTTAGAGCAGTGCTCCTGGGTTTGGCAGGGGACAGTGGAGAAATGTCCTACAGCAGGGACAGGCAATTAATTCAGGCGGAGGGCTGCTTACTGGGAATTGGCAAGTTATCAAGGACCACATGACAAGCAGCCAGGGGCAACTAATATTAATTTTCTAAATTTTTTTAGGGGCCCCACAGGCCGGATAGAATGGCCTGGTGGGCCGCATTTTGCCCACCTCCGTCCTACAGGTTGTCAGAGACTTTGTCAGGGTTGCCAAAGCACTTTTCCTCAGATCTTACTCTAAGAGAAAGCTGAGCTATATTGGCCGAAATTGCCTTGAAGCAAGATTCCTGACATGGAGAAGTTAGTTTAGCAGTTAAGTCGTTAGAGAGAAGTAGTTTGCCCGGTTAGTCTAAAGTCAAAGTCAAGCATTAGTCTTTAGGGGAGCACCTTAAAGACCAACTCCTTCAGAAAGGCATAAGCTTTCATAAATTGCAGCCTACATCATGAGATGCTACAAATGGATTTGCAGGGAGCAGAAAAGAAAAAAAATAATTGAAATACAAAGTAGGGGTGCACCAATAAAGATTTTATTGGGCTGATACTGATGGCTGCTTATTAACGAGCCATATCCACCAATACTGATCTGTTTGCTGATATGCAGCCTAGCAGCTTGGAGAGAAACGTCCAGCTGGTAAGTCTGTTGTGGGGGGCAGACTGAGGCCCCTGTGGTGAGGAAGTGAGAGGGGCAGGCACTGCCTGAGCGGGGTGAGGCAGGGCATGGGACAGATCTGTGGCTTGTCTGGGTGGGAGGGCACAAGGAGGTGGGCCGGCTCCTCCTGCTGTGCGCACCCCCGGGGCAGGCATGGGAGAGCATGTGCCCCCCAGATCTGTGTGTATGGCGAGGGCAGGCTGTTTGCTCAGGGCCAGGGCTGCACCAGATTCTTCCCAGTGGTGGGGGCTGGGCCTAGGCTCCGCTTGGGGTAGGTGGGACAGGTGGTGGCAGCACTAGGAGGGGTTGCTACAGAGTGGGCTACAGCTACCCCAGAGTTCCCTATAGCTACCCCTCCCAGCACCACTATCGTCTGCCCCATCCCTGTCCATCCCACATGCAGGCTGGGCCCAGGCCGTTCTCTCCAGGAAGAGCCCAGCACAGCCCTGGCCCTGAGCATGTAATGGGTACCTCCCCTCACCCCACACACAGATCCAGGGGGCACATTCCCCCATGCCTCCCGCAGGGTGTACATAGTAGCATGAGATGCCCCCCCACTCCCTGGACAAGCCATGGTTCCACCCTGTGCCCTGCCCTGGCTGTGCAGTTCCTGCCTCAGCCCTACTCACTCCCTTACCTCAGGGGCCTCAATCTCCACCCCCCACAACAGACTTACCAGCCAAATGTTGCTCTCCAAGCTGTTGGGATGCACTCTTGGCTGCATGCATGCTGCAGCTGCGCACATGCACGCGGCATTTATCAGTAACATTATCACCCACATCAGCCAAAAAAAAGCGATGGCCTATAATGTCAGTTTTCTTTTTACTGGTGCAGATACAATATGAACCGATGTACCTGTGCATCGGTTCATATTGTATCTCTAATGCAAACGATAAGAAAAGGAGGGGGAAAGAATAGGGGAGGGGGCACAGCAGAGTTAAATAACTGAAAATGTTGTCTTAAAATGGAAAGTGTTGGATATCCTTAATAATCAGCGTACAGGATGCTGGTTGCTAAGAAGCTGGGTTTTTTTCTTCAGTAACTTAAGAATTTGGGGTAATAAATGGAAGATCACAAATTATTAAAACTTCCAAGAGAATGCTTTTCATTATTAACTTTTGGAATAGTACATAATGATGCTATTAAAGCAGTAGGATTGAGCAACAGGATTTAATGATATATGTGCAACAGCTATTAAATTGAAGGAAAATTTTATAGGGTATAAAACCCATGATTCAGAATTTTTGTTAACCCTACGGTATTTTATAATTGTGCATAGCTCGGTTTCTCTCAGTTTGCTCAGAGTGTCTACTAAATTAGATAAGTCATTGACCTGACTTGATAATTCAATTCCTATGCTGTCAAAGAGCATCATCCTTTTGATATTCCATTAATCAGTATTTTCCAGTTGAAGGACTTATGTAAAACTTAAGATGTTTTCTCTTTTAGATTCATCTGCATTTACCCAGCATATTTAAACAACAAGAAGACAATAGCCGAAGGAAGAAGGATACCCATAGACAAAGTATTTAGTGGATGTCATGCGAAAACTAAGTTTTGTATCACTTGGTTGTGGGGGGGTAGAAAACTGCAAAAACTAACAATCTACTTTATTGTTCCTCAAAAAGAAAAAAAAAAAAAGACTAAGATGCTAGATGACTTCAGACTAGTTTATTTGATTTTGGTTTCAGAATGACACCTCTTATTCTTGTGTGAGCTAAGCTCATACCTCTACAGGGAGAAACTGATTACAGCCTGGGAAAGTTAAAAAAAATAGACTGTGGCACAGAATTATTTGCCTGCCTTTGCAGTAATGTTAATCTGGGCTGTTTTAATAACTTGCTTGTAATTTAATGATTTTACTAATCTGGACAGGAAGTCGTTTGGCCTCTTAGTTTGCCTTCACATTCCCTCTGTGGTGTTACTAAGGGTAACTGAAAATAGAACATGTTGAGTAAAGTTTTGTAACATACTCATTCTTGTCACCTTGCCTACATGTGTCCTGAAATATTTTAGGGTTAGATAATGACCCAATCATCTAGGCTCCTGATATTGTACATCACGTAGCATATTAAGAAATACAGTGGATTAAACATTTAGCAAATTATAAAACTTGTAGATTCTTGCTACCAACTTTTAGATAACTTTTTTCAGTAATGACAAGACCCGGTAGGAAAGTCATGGATTTTACTAATTGGAAAGGTGCATTTCAGGCCTGCTCTAGATGTCTTTTTGTAGCACTACAGAAAATATAGTGCTGTGGTCAGCCATACTGGCTGGAGCGTGACAAAGGCATGAATTCCCACCAGGGGTAATTGGAGTTGCTCCTTGGCTCCCTGTGCCCCCAGGACTTTAAACGGCATGCTGGCAGCCCTGAACTGGGGAGTTGCTCCCCAGTCCTGTGCTCCTGACTTGTCTAAAACTTGAAAGGCCATGTAGCAGTTCCCTGGTTCCAGGCTGCTTACACAGGCAAGCAGGCAGTCTGGGCCTGGGACTGCTTTCAAGATGTTTGGGGGTGGCAAGAGTTGACAGGAGTGGATTTGCAGCTGTGGAACAGAGCTGTGTGCAGGTTTTTCCGGATAGCAAGGGCTGAGTTGGGGCAGCCAGTGACAGCAGAAACCCCCATCTGTGGTAGCTGGTGACAGTTGGGACAGGGCTATCAGGCAGCCAGCTGCTCTCCTTCTGTCTTAGGGGCTGGGAGTGGTATGCAGAGCACTGGGGGTGTGGGGGTTGCTGTATGTCACACCTTAAAAATTCCTTGTAGTACAAGTTCTGCACACTTTCCTTATATTTTTCTGTTAAGTCTGTCTCTCAGCTGGGATCTGA